AGGTGCAATGCCTGTGACGGGTGGGGTCAGGTGCAATGCCTGTGACGGGTGGGTACGCACCGGCAATGAACCACGTCGTTCGTGGCCCCATGCTGTGCGAACCGGACTGCCTCCACGGCAAACCACCACCCGCCTGGGCAGCACACAATCAACACACCCACACCCCAATACAACACAACAATAGACACACAAACAAACACAATAGCACCCACACACCGCCGCCGGCAACTCCTAGTCCCTCCGACAATCTGCTCTGTTTGTCAGTCCAGAATATACCGTAACGTGACATCAGTCAAGTGCAACTCTTGCCTCGGCTGGTGCCCCTTTAGGGCGTGCTCAGAACTTCGCAACACGCGAGATTGGACGAGGGACTATGTGGGCCCCTGCTGTGCTGCCCCGTCACATCCCTCCCCCGCGACGACGCCAACCACCACCACAAGGCAGCACCCCCTTTTGCAGCACGTACAGCAGGGGGCCGGCAGGCAACACAACTCTTTAACACCACACATAACAATCGGTCGCCCAAGGCACCCAAAGGTGTTACAATTTAACTGTAACGGACTCCAGAGCAAGATCGAGGAGATAACTGTCTTTATGGGAAGGTATGGAATATTAATAGCTGCGTTCCAAGAGACGAAGTTGCACGGCAATTCAACCCTGTTGAATTGCGCCGGATACAACGTGCACCGTCGAGATCGCGAGCGAGATAATGGTGGAGGTTTAGCGCTCATCATGCACCACACCGTGCACTATCGTCTCATTGACGCAGACATCGACCGCAGGGATACCATCCTAGGATGTCAGGGTATTCCTATCCGGTCAGGCGATGTTGAGCTCGAAATATTTAACGTATACATACCCCCTGTCACCAGCTGCCCGGCACGATATCACCCTGAAATAGGTGCGCTACTCAAGAGGTGAAAACCGTATGGTAGTTGGTGACTTTAACGCGCACCACGATCTTTGGCACTCAAGCCTGTCAAATGATCGTAGGGGAATACATCTGGCTGAGCAGATAGACAATTCGACATTATGACCAATGAACCCACCCATAGTCATCTCCATTGATAAACCTGCCGACTTTGCTTCCGTGGATCACCGGACTTATGTCAACTTTTCCAAAGCTGACTGGAAAGGCTTCACGGATGTTACTGAGGGCGCCTTCACTGCACTACCCATACCAACCGACGTTCATGTAGGTGAACGTAACTTCCGCAGGGTTATCACCGCTGCTGCAGCGCGCTTCATCCCAGCATGATGTATTAAGGATCCACGTCCGAATTTTCCTGCCGAAGCGGCTGTTCTAGCTGATGAGCGCGACAACCTTCGGCAGGCCGATCCCGGAAATCCCCGTATTAGGGATCTCAATACGGAGATTCGGCAACTTGTGAACGTACATAAGCGGAAGAAATGGGAAGAGCATCTGAAGACCTGCAACTTCGCCTCTGGTGTGAGCAAGCTTTGGTCAACCGTGAGGTCGTTGTCCAACCCGACGAAACGCGACGACAGAGTCGAGATAGACTTTGGTGACCACGCTTCGTCGGACCCGGAGAGATGCGCGAGCTATTTTAGCCGGCAGGAGGAGGTTCTCAACCTGTCTATGGCCACTCTCGTCATTCCAGACATCTGGAAAATGGGGAGAGTGGTCCCACTGCTCAAACCGGGGAAACCAGCCAACACAGGAGAGTCTTATCGCCCGATAACTCTCCTTTCCCCGGTAGCGAAGACACTCGAGGCCCTGCTTCTCCCGTACTTTACGAACCACCTGACCCCAGTGTTTTGCTTGACCTTGGTTTGTCGGTCCAAACAGGAATCTTTATTTACGGTTGATGGATAGCTCGTTTCCAATGGATGGTCACAACTTGTCTTATTTCCGCAACAACATGGCTGGGGATTTGTCGGAAGGATTATTTTCTAATTTTTAGTCCATTTATAAAAGCGTTGTATAATAAAAAGTTTTTTTATTTATTTATTTTCTACTTTTTAGTCCATTTTTTCTCATTTTTAGTCCATTTATAAAAGCGTTGTATAATAAAAAGTTTTTTTATTTTATTTATTTTCTACTTTTTAGTCTTGTCTGTATAAAATTTTGCAATAGATATTAAAATAATTCAACTTGCAGTGAAAAGGGAACAGAAGACTATGCAAGCAAAATGTTGTTTGCTCACGTTTAGTATAAACATACATATGGCCCAAATCGCCGAAAACGAAACCAAGGTGAAGTATTTTTTTTTTTAGGTTTCGGAGATTTTGGATTATGTCTGGGTCATATATATTCTAAGGTGTCGGACAACATATATATTCACACAACTCTCCTTCTCTCAATCATGAAAATTCGCTTAATCCCGAGACACCTTTAAATTAACGAAAATTAAAAAATCACAACTTGAAACTAAGTGGTAGTTTATATTTAAGGATCGCCATTTGGTTGAACTAAACTTGCTTCTCTTCGCTTGCCTTGTATTATTTTTGAGTTAATATAAAAAGAATTTGACAAAAAAATCAGTTATTAGCTTCTATATGAAAATAAAGTCGGCAGTATTTTTTAATGTAATCTAACAGTTCAAAATATCAAACAATTTTTTGGTGCGGAATTCAACAGGTTAAAAAAAGGGGAGTCTAGTTTTCTTCGAGTATTTTCGGCCTTCTTTCACAATGAAATAAGATAGTTCCTCGTATTCTTCTTTATCCATGTGTTTTAGGTGGAAAACTATTTGTAACGTAAGTCTTTTTTACTAATTGAATTTTTAGGTAAAATTTTGTTTATTAGAGAGGGCTCGTTTTGCAAGCATTATTTAAAGCTATTCGACGTGTTAATAATAATAATAGATTGGCGCTTACACATATGTTAGTGTTTGGCCGAGCTTCTCCTCCAATTTGTGGCGTGCGCCTTGATGTTGTCACACAAAGCGGAGGGACCTACAGTTTTACGCCGACTCCGAACGGCGATTGTATTTTTATGAGAGGCCGAGGGACGACCGCTGTTAAGAAAAAACCTTTTTTCTATACATATATTTTTTTTTGCGATGTTGCTTTGACCAGGGCTTGAACCCAGGTGCTGTGAAGTGGAAGCGCGCACTGTTTACCACTACACCGCAGCGGCCGACGTGTTATTGTCCTATAATTAAAATATTTATTCTTTTTTACTTACATAGGCTCAGAAAATATAAGTAAGTATTACGTAGAAAAATAAAGTAACGAGAGGATTGGGTTATTTCAAAAAGGAACAATCCCAAAAGGAGTGAAATAAGAAGCTAAAATAATAAGAACAAAATTTTCCGATTAAATAAAAAAAAATCTACTGGAACTATTTCGCCTATTTTTCTAGTACTAATGTTGTCCTTCAAAATCCACTCTCGAATGGTGCTATATGATTTTTCCTTCAATAGTTATGGCCATAAAATAATAAATAAATAAATACATAAAAACACCGCCAAACCAAGCAAATGCTTTCTAACTCATTACGTCATTTTTAATGGTCATAGCTTCTCAAGGAAAAATCTTTAAGCACCACACAAATGCCCATTTTGAAAGGTAAGAATAGTACTAAATGGCTTAGAACAAGCAAAAATTGCTATTAACCTCGAAAAACCTCAACATCTTGGCGCAATTATAAGCTCGAGCTCGAGTTCTTCGTTGAAAATTACTTCTGAAACGACCGACAGCTGCACAACATCAACTTTCAGATCTGTATTCATAATTATTTATCATGTTGTTAGCTTCTTTGGATTACATGTCAAATAGCAAATCTGCTAAATTCATGCTACTTATTGCATAAAACACACTAAGCGCTATTTAAAAACCTAATTATAATCTTATCGCTAGACATTTATCACACAGGTAACGTAACAGTCTCTTTCTGTAAGGTAACAGTACGACTATTTTTTGCAAATATTGACCTCGAAATGAATTTTATCAGTTCAATTAATACGTAGCCCTTGAGTTCCATCCTTAAGCTAGGAAACTGCGTACCAACTTTTGAAAATATTATATTAGGAGACCAGACTTTTTCGATAATATAAAGCAGCTTTAAAAAGTACTTCCAAAAATTGTAATGTAACAGCCCGCTGTTGAAACATTCATAACTCCTAAACAAGAGGAGTTACAATATATTTTGCGTATATGTTAAATATAGCCACATACTTATGCTTTCAGACTCAAAAAGAAAAACTATCCGAAATTTGTATTATAGCGAGTTTCAGTGGTATTTGAAAATCAATGTGAACCAAAATGTAATGTAACAGTCCGCGTTTTGGGCCATATGTACATACATACATATAGCAGCAGTTCATTTCATTTAAAGAAATGGCGTGTCGTTCATTTCCGTTGTAGCGTATGTAAATAGTGCATATATTTAGGCGCAATATTTAACGTCTTCTGGCGGGGCGACATCTACAGTCTTCTAATTGTATCTCTTTGATATGATGCCTACAACGAGGTTGTTATCTAGAATTTGCCATAAATAGCTTTGCTATATTTATAGTATAAATGGTGGTCTGGACACACAACGTTGCAAGTTGGGAAAAGCGTTGTAATGTAAAACTCAGTGCCGCTGAAGGTATTCAGAGTAATAAGAAATATATTGGTTTACTCCTTATGCACGTAGCATTTGTCTTTCGATGTGATTTTTTGAGTTGACATTTCAAAAATAATCGTTATTTGCGGTCCCAGGGCCCGAATCGCGTCATTCGATATCGAACGCAACTCTAATCGAAATTTGGTTTTGAGATCACGACATTCGATAGCGAGAATGCTTCGCCCGTTTAAATTGTATTGTGGAGAAAACAGCTACCATTTTGTTTCATTCGATTCGAAACGAGTAGTACCCCGATCACATATGCCGCTATTTGGGCCCTGGTTACAACAAAATTGCGTAAATTTGAATTTAAGGTAATGGCGGGGTATTTGCCATCGAAATTTGCGTCCTCACGTGAAATTATCCGCCACATGAAAGATAAAAAACAGCCGCACTCATGTAAATAAATACATTAATTTTAATCTACTTTAAAAAAATTATTGACTTTATTCTTTACTTTACCATGATCATTATTATACTTATTACATAGTAATATTATGTTTACGCGAGCTCTACATACATTGAGTGTTACTAGTTTATATAAATTTACCATACATATTTATGTATGCACGTAGTATATGGTATACTGCAAACATACTTACATATATGATGTATTTGTGTATATATTTATGTATGCAATTACCCTTCATAGGCATAGTTAATCAAATTTGTTATCATTCCAATTGCTACTGCTACGGTTTTCCTCAAATTTCTATAAAGAATTTTATGTTAATTACTGTTTGCTAGCATTTTGTGGTGATTTCACTGATTTATTATAATTCAAGTTACCACGTGTTGGCATATGAACTTTTAACCGTGGACTTCGTCAACGTGTTTATGCGGAGGTGTATTTATCATAAACTGTGATTTATTTAATAGATTTTTGTGTATTTTATGTTTTATTGTGTACTCGCTAATTTTGTATTAAAAGATAGCTTTATTTTGTTTTCATTACGATGATAGGCTCGAGGATCTTAAGCATATCGTTATTTTCAGGCTGTGTACTATATTCCTTGCACGGCGGTTTGCCGTAAGAGGGGTTGTTAGAGGCTGACATTTGTTGTTGTTGGTTCTGCTGTTGATCTGGCTGCTGAGGTCCTTGCGAACTGGCTAAAGCTAAAAAAACGCTGTTGCTGCTGCTGCTGTTGAAGTTGTGCTGTCACCAAATTCGAGGATTCATTAGCATGCAACATCTGCTGCTGGTGCTGCTGCGGTTGTTGTTGCTGTTGTTGTTGCTGCTGTTGTTGTTGTTGTTGTTGCTGTTGAAGTATTTCCTGCTGTTGTTCTTGTACCTGCAGTTTACTGTTAGCAGTGGATTCATTACCATCGCTAGATATATCAACATCCTTCTTAAGTTCCTCGTAAAGTTCGCGAGCTCTATCTTCAGTGCGGCGGCGAGAATGAGTTCGTAGACGACGCATTCGTGCGTACTCGGCTTGCTTGGATAAACGTGTTTTCCGCTCTTCTGGCGATTCTGTAGATCTTATTTCCGCACGTTTCAGACGAGCCCTTTCGCATAACTTAGCTAAGCGGACTGCTCGCTGCTCGGGAGTCTCATTCGCCCTTACCTCCCTTTGGTGTGCTGCCATTTTATCCAATCGTCTACGCTTGTCTTCGTCAGTTTCATATTTATGCCCGGTGCTTCGGGTCGAGCCTGTGGGCGAGGAATGTTGTTGACCACGTCCGCGGCGCTGAGTCTGCTGTGGTGAAGCGAGCATTTGATTAATTTCTTGCTCAAGCAAGGCGCTCACCTTTTGTTGTCGTAGAGCGTCCTCCGTTGATTCAGTGGACCCTGTAGGCAGCAGATAAATGCCGTTTTTTTGAGTCTCCCGTGTTGCTCATGGTAGTGGCGTTGTTGGCTGTGCCTGTGTTTGAAAAGATGATCTTTCTAGGGCGACCGCGGACCGGTTTTGGAAAATCCTGTATAACTTGTTGTTGTGTAGCGGATGAAGCGACAGCTGCTACAGCTGCAGCAGCAGTTATTGATGTGTTCGCAAGCAAATTATAAGCTCCGCCAACTGCAGACTGTGTAACTTGTCCCGACGAAGGGGATGTGCCAGAGTTGGTCGTACTGGTAAAATGCACAGGTGTAAATGGTGGTGGCACTGTATTCGGTGGAATACTTAGTTGAAATCCATTGTGGTACATAGGATAGTAGGTGGCTTGGGTGGGAGTGCTAGATGGTGAAGTCACAACGGTTGATCCAGTGTTTGATGCGGTTGCTGAAAAATTAGCTAAATAAAGAAATTGATTATATAGCGGAGTAGGAGGGTTCTGAATTTGAGAATGTGAACTTTTTATTTTCGGATTCTCACTGTTGGACGTTGATGCTACGATCACCTTGGAATCGTTCTGCAAATTGCTTCCAGCAACAGACCCGCTGTTATTTGTTGAATTCGTCTGCAAATGAAAATCATTATAGAATTCCCACATCCTTAGTAAATGTTGAATATGTATTTGCCTGCCACATACCGCCCGAAGTGCACAACAAAAATTTTAATAATTCTACGACTTTGACGACTAAAAAAATTTACAAATGGAAGCCCATTAAAAACCGACTACCAGATGAAAGGGGTTTATTTACACAACACGTATGTATCTAGTACTGGAAGTGTCCAGCGTTGCCATATGTCTAAATACAAATAGGGTCAAAATAATGATTTCGGGTGTTACCAAAGCATTCATTTTTTAATTTCTTAAAATTCCATCACATTTCGTTTTAAGCACCAGCAAACTATTGATGTAAAAAAAATAGCAAACTACTTATATGGTTGTCAAAAATGTATTGAATAAAATTTATTCGAAGGAATTGGAAAATCAACAGTCTTTGTTTTGGAACAAAAAAAAACTCAATCTAAAAGACTTTAAAACAAATACAAATCAAAATCAAATCAAAATAATGATACAAATGACATTTTCACAAACAATCAAAGAGAAAAATAGGGTTGTGTGATATATACAGATAGATATGATTCATATTCATTACTAGCGGAAAACATGGTCTTGATCTTCTATAAAACTGAGATTTGTGTTACTTAATCGGCCCTATCGCAAAATTCATGTGAACAAATATTCCCAAAAATTGTAAAACAAAACAAGAAATTTTGTTCCCAATTTGTTTTAGTTTTGCATTTAAAATTGTGGGAACGATTTGTTCACATTGAATTGGCGATAGGGCTGAATATCAAACATGTGGTTATAAAATTTTGCGATCTTCCTTTATCAAATAGTTAGGCATCGTACCATTGAGCTTTACAATTTTTTAGGTAGATACGCTTCAACTTTTTCAAATTTTGCAATAGATATAACTTTTTACTGTTTTAAATGTATTTTGGCAAAGTATAACATATAAGTAATTATGCCTATTACGGCATACGACGGATGCCATCCGTACGGATCTAATCCGATTCGCATTGTCATAACAAGCGAGTGAGGAGGTTCAGATTTGTGCGAATGGCTATTTTCATCCCTACATCTACACCTTCTACATATTCTGAAAAAGCTGTGTTAAAAGCGGCTGCGTTTCTTTATACATTCCGGATAATCCCATTTCACAGCCGGAATAAACAGAATGCGTTTGAAATATACGTTAACATATCATCAGGAACGTTCTAAAGAACAAGTAAACAAAAAAAGTTTATTCCAAACGTTCAGAATGAATAAAGAAATGCAGCCAGTGTGTTTGCATTGTTCAACTTTGCGTTCAACCCAGCGCAGGGCTGCCGAAAAAAAAGTTGAATGGCTAAATGTTGGCTGGCGACCAACTTTGTTGAAACCGGTATATTTGTAACCGGTAAATTTGGTTACCATCTCATAAGCTGGTAACAAATTATTGCCCCGTGAAATATGCAATGCCAGGATTTGCACAATTCTTCATAGCTGAATTGCTGAATATTTTAACTGCATTACCAAGGTACCTAGAATCGCGGTAACAAGAACTGGTAACATTTTTTGGTAATACAATTTTCCGGTTACAAAATCTTCGGTAACGTGCAGAATAGACCTGTTAGTAGAAGGTATAGATGAGGGGTGTAATGAACATGTTTAGACGATTATTGAATATTGTAAAATAAAAAATGCTTAGTGTAAACTCTTGTTATAATCTTATAATTTATCTGCAGCATGAGAGTAGGAACAGCCCAAATAATAATAGACTTGCAGCTTTATTTAGTGTACCATGCATATACATATTATACGACATTAGGGCGTATTAATAAAAACAAGCAACTGCTAGAAAAAATTTTCCTCAGAATTCTCATACGAATCTGAGCAAATGCTAGCTTTCGACATATCAAATGCATGCTTAAATAAGCTTGCTATCATATGAAACTGAGCTAATACTCAAATTTGGATCAGTAATTTTTTATTAATACGACCCGTTATGTACTTTCCTTATATGGTAAAATTGTTTGATCAAACTGCGTGTCTGTGATTTGATGGTGTGACCTACACGCGTCAAACAACTGAACAAATTTAAGTTTTTCGTTTTAGTTGAAGTTGAATAAAAGTTTGAGAAGTTTTTGTAGTCATCTATTAATACTAAAATGAACTCGTATTCATCTTTTCCTTTGATATTTTTTTTTTGTTTTTCATGTAAATTCTTGTGCGCTTGCATGCCCGTGTAATTTGATGGCTTAACACCACAAAAAAGGTTTGGAGATTTTTGTAATAATTTATTAATTCTAAAATGAAGTCGTATTCTTTTTTGTTGTGCAATTGTTCGTTCGCTTGATTTCTTAATTTGATAAAACATCACTTTACACGGTCCACAGCACGCGTCAAACGACGTCAAATTTGATGAAAATCAGAACCACTTTGATTTTTGTCAAACAGCCATCAAACTCATACATGTGACACATACATACAAAATTTCAGTAACACAAACACACAGTTTGATCAAACAATTTGACCATGTACGGTGCCTATTATTCGACAAAAGTTCTGCAAGAATTTAACGCTTTCTATAACTGTCAGCGGCACTAATATTGAAAACATATAAGTAAATAATTGTTTAGGCTTAATTTAACAGAAACGTACAAATTCGTAATTTTATTTTTTTTACTGATGCCCACATTTACAATCATTTGAACACCTTGATAAATGTGATAATCCACCGATAAATATTTCTAATATATCACCCCCAAGAAATTTCTGGCAACACTGTAAGTACAAAAAGAAAGCATCATTTTATAAAACCGGATTCATTTTCTCCATTTTGCGTATACCAAAATTCGTTTGTAATCACGTTTAAATAGGAAGTTGCCAATACTCGCCTTCAAATAAAATTGGCCAGATTTTTTTTTCAGAAACTACATCAGCCTCCTTAATCTTCTTAACCAATTGTAGAGTGCGTCCATTCTGAATTTAAAGTCACATACCAACCAATATTTTAATTGAAACCCCTTTTTCGTTTTATTTTCGCTATGAGATGTGCTTTTTAGTAGCTGTACGTGATTATGTTATACATACATACATTTGTACATGTATTATGTTGCGCCCATTCCCATTGTTTATACAATTTTTACATTTAATTTAGATTTTTAAAAAACTCACGAGTTAATTTTGTTTTATTTATTTAAAAGACAATTTTACTGAACGAATCTTAATTTTTAGAATCTTTACACGCTTAATTTTGGAAAAGAGACATTATGATTAAGGTTAAGTTATTGTAATATTAAGTTTATACTATGTAGTTGAACAATGGGGCAGACAAGTAGATATTCGTGTACATTTTGGTACTTATGCGCCTATTTAGAATCATTTATACTTACCTGAAGGTCCTGCTTCTTCATATACTTGTTTTGATAAAATTCAAGGGAGCTGGCTATTGTGCTGAATTGTGGTACATGCGCTTGTGGCAACTTAGATGACGTTGTTGAAGTGCCGTTACCAGTTGCTCCTGAAGGTTTCTGATCGTTGTCATACAGTTGTTGAGGGAACATGCTATTTGATTCAGAATCTAGTATTGTTTGTTGCTGCTGCTGTTGGTGTGTGAAACGTCCTTGCTGCATCGTCAGTTGTTGCTGCTGTGCTGTCAGTTGCTCCTGTTTAAGTAAAGCGGGTCTCAAAGTTGCCGGACTCATGAACATATTTTGATAGTACTCTATGGGATTGGTTAACGCCGTCTGCTGTGGTTGATAAGATGCTAGTTGTTCGTCATTGGATTGCTGTGGTTGTTGTTGGTCTAGGTTGCTGTTTGTTGCGACTGTTGATTGCGGGGCTGCCTGGTTCAAATTGATATTTTCATTAGTGGAACTGGCAGCAGTACTTTGCAATTGGCTCGAATTCTGCGAATTCTCACTTTGCCCCTGCTTGGATTTTTTCTTAGTTTCTCTGACCTTTTTTGCATAATCGTTTAACTTCCTCAGTCTGTCCTTCCGTTGCTCTGGAGTTTCATTTGCAATACGCTGACGTGCGCGAGCTGCCATTTCTGCCAAACGTACTTTTCGCTGATCTGGCGTCTCATTTGCGCGGTAGAGGCGCATACGTTCAGCAAGCTTCTGAAGACGTTTAGCCCGCTGTTCTGGTGACTCCATTGCTCTACGAAGTCTCTGCCTAGCTGCGTTGCGCACCAAGCGCATTGCTCTCTCCATATCCGACTCATTTTGGCGGCGAAGACGATTCGCTTCAGCGTTCCTTGAGAGACGCTTGCGGTACTCATCTTCACTTTCACGGTTACGCCTTTCACGCATCCTTTCAGCATTGCGTGCCAGGCGACGAGCGCGGGCTTCAGGGCTTTCGTTCCAGCGTTGTGCAGCTGTACGTGAGGAAGTAGACGATGTAACTGATGTTGGACCGTGTGTTGTGGTTACACCTGCAGGAACCGGGGTTGAGGCGGGCTGTTGCTTTAGAGAAAGCGGTTGCGGATACCCTGGTAATGAGCTTAACTGTAGTTGCTGTTGTTGCAATTGCTGGTCGTGCTGTTGAAAGTGGTGCTGTTGATGTTGCTGATGTAACTGATGCTGTTGTTGTTGCTGCTGCTGCTGTTGGTGCTGCTGTTGTTGCTGTTGATGAGACAAGGGCACCAGCAACGTTGAAGGGTGCTCGATGAGAAGCCGTGCATTGTGTCCATTCAATGCGAGTAGATGTGTAGCGTACTGTGAATGCTGCTGCTGTTCAAGTGTAGGCTCTATTTTTATCCCATTGGGATTTGATTCCATTATTTCGAAAACGTCACTCTCAGGAACTGGGAACGTCTGTATAAATTTTCACCTCGCTCTTCCACATTTATTCGCCTTTGGTCCTCACCTCCGTACCTGCATTCCCACCATTCACCGTTTTTATTCTTTACTAGTTTCTGCGTATTTGCAATTGTTGCAAATATTTACGGAGTTTTTCTTACTGATGTCATTTAGTGGCGGCGATTGTCAAACTTTGACATTTTGCACTAAAAGATTCAAGCAAACAATTCACAGCGTTATATTCCATATATTGGAACGATGTTGTTTCACACATATTTCCAGTCTAAACTTTCCAATCGATTTTTCACATGATTTTCTATGGGGCTCTTCGCATATTTTAGCTCGGAACCTCCAATGCACTTACGACACAATCTTATTTCCATACAAAAAATGGTTTAAATTTTGTTTTATTTTTCGTCAATAGCCAATTATAGAATATATGTATGTATGAAAGTAAAAATTTCAAACTACTGGTATATGTAGTTAGTACACAAACTTTAAACTTAGTACAATAATCGAGTCACTAGTCACATATGTATGGATTTTAACAATTCCAGCTTATACAAACGGTTATTAAAGGTTCTGCAATTAACATTGCAATTTTTTACTTTGATTTTTTATTTAACCACAAAATTTCCGTAGGCGGTAGTGAGGCCAAAACCAGCAACGGCTTGCGAAAAAAAATGTAAATACACGAAATAGCATTGGAACGAGCCGCTTTGTGGAAAATGGAAGCAACACCAAGAAAAATTTATTAGTTGTTTTATCAAGTCTCAAATAACCAATTAATGATAAAAGATTGATTTAAAATCATATAAATAAAAAATAATTTTATCGGAGATAAAAAGTAATTTTATATGTTTAATTTTAATATTTCCCAAAAAAATTCTTTTTTTGGGAACTACGAGACAATATGGTAATTTTAGATTTCAGTAAGAACAACGGGTTTTTTTTTCATTTTTCTAAAATAAAAATATTGTCAAGGCATACAATTATATTTTGATTTTGACGCATATTTTACATTATTTGTACCTTTGTACTGAGTACTTTAGATTCAGGCTCAGAATAGGAATTTCAGCGGTTCTAGATTGGAAATATGTATGTATATCTACGTATTCCAATGAATAGATACGCATCGACACACGAACACCCTCGACTGCGAACTCGTCAAACGCCTGGAAGTGCGGTGCTACCACACTGTTTTGCAAGCGGACACTAACTTCGTTATTAGGGAATTGCTGAGGGTATTATTCAAAGTGAAGTTAACGTCACATATTCACTGGAACCACATAAGTGTACACATATGTAGGTACACACGCCAATATGTGAACATGTGTGTATCTGCTGTGCAACACGCATATGGGGATATTACTAGATACATACATATGTGGTTTTTTGTGTACCCACGAGCAGTAGCTTTCTTTAATATATTTGGCGCAATCAGCCAATCGGCTTTCCTATGAACGATACATGCGCACACCAAATATGCACCTACATATATGGATGATTCGTTCACACTAGCTACATATGTACATCCGTATGTATATAGAAAATTTTCATATATACTTAACTGCTTAAACTGAAGATATTCCTTCTAAAAAACGACAAGATTTAGCAAAGCGTAGCCCTATATGTTTTACTTGATCCTTAGGCTCAACTACAAAGCATGTACATATGTATATAGGTACACATATGTATGTATGTACTCATACATATCGTCATCATCAATGCAAAGGTCCTATTTGATATAGGTACATACATACATATCGCACACCGTCTTCAAAAGAGCCACAACTCAAAATAATACGTTCGTCAGAAAATGCGAAAACCTATTACGTAGCACATGCTAATCATATGGGGAAGGGTGACTTTACCTTAGGTTTTTTTTTAACAAATTATAACAAAAATTTGCTCCAGCTTTTGCTGAAAGGTAAATAAAAGCTCTGTGTATATTTTTAGCACATAATTTCAAAAATACCAAATTTTGAGTTGTGACTCTTTTGAAGACGGAGTGCGATATGTGAATGTTTTAGGTAGTGCGAGTTTTTAAATATTCCCTAGGTTTGCGATGCACCTCATTATAAAAATTTAAAACCATATAAAAAATGCGAGATTTAATATCTTGCATACATACATACATATGCGTGTATTTAAATTTGACAAGTTTTTTGCTCGCCCTGTAAAATTTCAAATTGCCAAAATAGGGCCGTTTGCGTTGATTGTGACGATAGGTATGTACTTATGTATCTACATTTGAGAAATAAGTAATTAATTTATACTGCAATAAATGCATACATATGCACATATGTAAGTGTGTACGCATCTATGTATGTATACACATACATATGACTCCTGTCCTTTATCCTGTTGTAAAATTTGCAGCTTGAGCAAAGTATTTAGGCGAATGGATGTAGATAATGGGGGCTATCACAAAATCCATACGATTTTTCGTGAAATCTACGAAAATGAATGTGACATATTCAAAGTATACGCTGCGTTCGTAGCTACTCGAATTCAATGATAGCATTTTCGTAGATTTCATGAAAAATCGGATTACGATGGATTCTGTAATAGCCCCCAATAATTAACTTTAGAATTATGTAACGATATTCTCCAACCTTATATCCGACAAATATTAGAGACTAAAGTTAAGTGATATACATATATAACTCTGAATTATGATGCCAGAATCGCAAATAAAAAAATAATATTAAGAGTACCAGTCACAGATGTATTTATGCATGGGAGTGGTAAATAACACAAAGCGGGAGGACAGTGAGTTTTATATTAAATAATTTTGTCAAATGGAGCTGTCCTGAATCCTTTTGTAAATTTCAGAATTGAATTCTTTGCCAAGAATCTGCAATTTGAGGCTTTATTTCCTTCAAAAAGAACCAAGCCTCATTTACTTTAAAAATGTGCATGATGCAACTTTATTCCAGTATAGTGTACATATTCATAACGGAAAATTTACCTTTAATTACATAAAAAATGAAGATAAGTTGAATTTTGACTAGAACTTAAATAAGATTGAAACGAGACGAAGTTAACTTGACTATGTTTTACCTTTTTAATAGTAATAAAACATTTTGTTACAGAATTAAATTTTATGTTGGATTACAACTACGTGTGATTTACGGAAATGTCTAGAGCATCAGCATAAACGGGATATTAATTAATTAAGGAGCTTTTTAGCGGACTTAGATTTATCTGTTGGGAGATTTAGATATAACGCTATAGGTGCTACATTGTAGTTATAATAATGCGTTCATTTGTTTGTGTGATTGTGGAACTAATTGGTGTGTTTGTTTGCTCATGTTTGCTCATTTGTGTGACTGACTACATTTACATATGTACGCTTCTATATATTTGTTATATTATGTTATATTATTACATTTCATCTTATATTAATGTAATGCATGCATTATAAAAATACTTTATTCCATAAACTTAATTAAATGTTCGGATGAGGGGCTTACTCGGGTTGCCCTTAATTAGCCTCCTACACCCTCTCATGATACGATCGCAGTGAAAGCCAAGTAGCCAGGACTTATGCCAATGCGTGTGCGACTAAATCCCTTATGCTAAAACATTTCTTTTTGCGTCTTGTTTTTGCCACTATCCAGTAGATTTGTTGTCTCTAATTATTTATATTAACGGTTATTGTTATAAATTTGTTGCGTCAATTATGAAGGTTGTTTATATCAATACCATACGTCTTCTTGTCCACTGTGAGATAGATCTGATGCTGCCTGTTGGAGTAAATGTATTCATTTATTTAGTAACCCTTAAGGCGATCCTCCAGCGGTGGCTTATACACCTTTGGTGCATTGGCTCGCGCAGTTCGCATTCGTTCTGCAGCTTTTGCTAGGCGCTTTTTGCGTTCCTCTGGAGTTTCACTAGCGCGCCGCAGTCGCTGTCTGGCGGCATTTTTCATCAGTCTTAGGGTTCTTTGTACTTCATTTTCATTCTGACGTCGTACACGGTTCGCTTCCGCATTTTTCGCAAGGCGAATCCGATATTCTTCTTCGCTTTCTTTGGCTCGTTTTTCGCGCATCCGGGCAGCGTTTCGTGCTAGTCGTCGCTGGCGTGCCTCCACTGATTCGTTGCTCCGCCGACGAGCTGCTTTTTGCGCTCGAGTTGATGGCGGTGTGCTGAGTTGAAGTTGCAAAGGAAGCGGTTGGGCTTGCTGCGTTTGCTGCTGTCCCGTCGATGAAGTGGTCGTCTGCTGCTGTTGCTGCGACGACGATGATGACGATTGCTGTGATTGAGGTTGCTGGAAAGTATTCTCTAAGTTAAGGGCGGCGACAGCTGCAACGGCGTTTGTGGATGTATTACCGCTACTACTACTGACTGCTGCTACTGCAGCACTAGTATAGTTGTTATAGTCGATTAAACCCCGGTTGCTAGGGTAGAGGTGGTGCATGGGATTTTCATAGTTGAGGTATTCCGGCTTGATGAAAAATGGATCGCGCGCGGAAAGAGGTGTTGATGGCGAATTGAGGAAATATAATCGGCTGTGGTCAGTAGTGATGCTGCTTCCTCCGCCTCCCACTCCAGTGGACATCTGGGGTTGCTTCACGACTGTCTTACCAATCGTGCAGTTCGTCGTCAGGTTGGAAAGTATCGGAAAGCCGCAAATGCTACGCCGTCTTTAAATGTATTCACGTAATATTTTCCAAATTAAATTTTTTATTTTCAACACAATTAGAGGAAAATTAATGGGTAAACAACAAAAGCGACATAACTAATCAATATGGAAAAAAACTTCCACTGATACCTGGAAGTGCGTAATGGAAGTTAATGCGCAAACTTCGCTTACTTCCAGCGTCGGTGGCATTTTCAAAAGTTGCCAGATTAAAAACAACTTTTTGTCATGATGCCATTTGTGTTTGCAAAGACTAGCAGATTTTTCTGCCATGATAAATAGTCGAAGGATAATTTTTTCGCTCAGCCTTGTTTATTATACGGGGAACTAATGGTTATCCACTAGAAAGTACCATAATCATGATTCTAAGGGCCAATTTTCCTGGCCTAATTCCCCTAAATGGATTTAACCCGATTTCGTATTCATTTTATATTGATCTCTCCATAACAAAACCTAGATTTAAATACTGATTAATTGAAATTGTAAAATACTAAATTTTCTTTGATATATGTATGCAGATATACATATTCATGCATATGTATATGTATATATGTTTTTTTTTGTTATTATTGTACCTCTTTTGTTGTTTGTGTTATTTATGTTCTTTGTTCATTGGAGGATTTCTGCATAGATCATCAACTTATGATTTTTCTTCGACCACATTTCTATGCTCTCTTCAAAATTTTACAAGGATAACCTAGCGTTTTAAGAGTCTTTTAAAGATTCCTGTCATTTAAAGGAATTGCTTCCAGTTAGTTTAAAAAAAATGTATTGGTCTCAATATGAAAATTGTACACTTTCTATATTATTGTTAAATACATAAATAAATAATTAGGGTATTCACACGGTGTGCTATTTGTCACATTTCTGCCATATGGAACCGTCAAAACTCCCGATCAGCGACATAAACCTAAAGTAGGTTTTTTAAAAGTTTACTAAAATAAACATATATCTTAAGTGGCTGGTAGAGGTGGCAAGTGTCTGTCAAACTAAAGTATTTCCTAAAGGGATTGCAGGAGCAGCTACAGTTTTTATTTCTGAAAATCATACTTTCCGATACTACTTTTTGTCTGTGTACACGTTGAATGCAGACAATTCCATAATATATATATATATTATAGTTAAAAAAACAAAAACCTCGCTATTTTAATTTCCATTCGTACTGTCGTCAGGTATGTAACTTGAAAATAGAAATCGCGGCATCTTTTAGGCGCATCAATATTACATAGTTACATCCCGAGCTAATAAAAGGGAGGTAATAAAAAGAAGGTAGTTTCAGGGCCTGTGCCAAATGATAGAAAAGAGAAAATTTTGACGGATCAAAGTAAAAATCTGACATTTCTCGTGGTGAATAAGAACGTTTACCTAGATCATGGGGCTAGGTAAAATTTTGACAGCTTATAACCATGTATACACATAATATTGCTTGACGGTAATAAGGAGTGAAACTGAAAATGAAAGCTGAAACAGCATAAAAAAAGCGTACGTTACTTGCAAATTATAAAATAAATATAAATTTTAAGAATTTCAGCAACACACAAAAATAAAGCTTTCGCACGAGCGTTTGTTTGGTTTTTCAACTGTCACAATTTAACTCTGCATTTGGCACAGCAAAATTCAATTTATTTGTACACCATAGCAAATTTTTCCACCCCGTCTCACCACGGAGAAAAAAGTTACCGATTGGCACAGGCCCTCAGTAAACAAAAAATTCGAAGCGGCGTTACCCCATTTAAGTTTTTTGGTAGAGGGGATTTTATATCATAAATTTGGGATTATGTATTTTTTATTTTTTCTCTTATCTTAAAAATGTTTAAATTTTAAATTAAATATGATAACCACTTCCCGAAGACTTTATTTTTAGATTAATAAAATTTTAGTGAACATATATGTATATCTGTGTTCGTATCGAATAGTACCTTATGTCGGGTATAATGTGGCATTCCCTATATTCTTTCAACGACAAGGAATTTTTTTGATGAGGCTTAATAGGAATATTGACTTGCTAATATCGGAACTATTTCTTGCACGATCATTTGCTTCTGAATCCCAATTGTCTTTGTCCATTTAACTGCATGTCTTTCAAGTACCTTGAAAGTGGAATTTACTTTCGGACGCATGCGCCTCATGACTCCTAGAAGTGAGTATTATCCACTTCTAGTATGTTTTGATGATATCGTTGGTTCTTTGAGCAAAATTAAAATATATTTTACTGTTCAATATTGAAGGGGGTGTGAAAGAGAACAGTCCAAACTTTAAGTCAAGTCACCCTTCTCCTCTCTGCCCCTGGGAACCTATTTGAAAATTTCTGGCACATCAAAAAATATTAGCATTTTACCCGAAAATGTAAACTCGGGTTCCGCCAGCCACATGATTTAATCGCAGAATACCTTACCGCGTTGGAAAAATAACCCTAATCGGTCCAACTCCGGCTACCACAGTATATTTTACAAAAAAAATTTACAAAGAATTTATTGATAAATTAGTCTTCGAAAAGTTTAAATTGATTTTAACATACATACTCAAGAATGATAGAATACAAGATTGCGCCGTCCTGGGCGTTGACATTTGTGTACCACAAGTAAACAAAGAATAGAGCGAAAAGAAGAACGAGTTGAAACTGCCAAAGCTGTTTACTTTACAGCGAAAAACGTGTTTTAATTTTGCTAAATGCAAAAATATTGCATTTTTCACCTAATCTATTAGAGAACAGTGAACATTTTAGTGCACTCCATTGCTTTGCAATTGAGGCTGCTTCAGCAAACGTTTTAGTGCACTCCATTGCTTTGCAATTGAGGCTGCTACAGAAAACTGCAGCAGCATCTCTTCGGGATTTATTAGTTAACTTGCTAATGGAGGCTGCGTGGAGCAGAAACAAAATCATTGTGAGGAAATGCTTTTAAAATAATAATAGAGAAACATTTCGGGAACAACTTTGCCGTGCCCTATGTACACAAAATGCAGCGACTCGTCCCAGCGCTACTTGCATCTAGGCTTCCTGCATCTTGACGGCTGTCGCAATTTAACACACAGCACTTCATAGTATTAGTTTTTACGCAGTCCTCAACTCAAAAATCACTCACAAATTGCAAATTGACACAATTTAAACTGATTTTTCACTAATAATTCATATTTCTCTTTCGCTGATTTGTAAACAAAGGTTTATTTACAAGTTACCACAACCGTCAAAATCGGCAAAACCAAAGTAGCGGTACCACTGACAGCGCCACCTTTGTTCGCTGCACCGTGATACATACTGTTACGATTCACGGCCTTCATCTTGTCACTCATAATTTGAGTTCGCTGTCTCACAAGAGCATGTATTTCTCTCAACTCCTCTTCCAGGATGTTGGACGTCTCTTTCCCAATCCTCCTTGCATCGCCAGTTACTCCAAACTTCAAGTCACTAGGCAAACGGAGCTCACTGCCGAAGATTATCCTCGCAGGAGTTTTACCCGTTGTTCCATGCACTGCTGACCGGTATCCCATCAGGAACAAGGGTATGCGGACATCCCAATCTTTCTGATTTTTGTCCACGACCTTCCGCAAATGCTCTTCCAGGGTTCGGTTGAACCGTTCCACCATGCCATCTGATTGGGGATGAAGAGCCGTTGTTCGAGTTTTCCGGATACCCAGTATCTGGCACATCTCTTGGAACACCGCCGATTCAAAATTTCTTCCCTGGTCAGAGTGCAGCTCTATAGGTACACCGTATCTCGCAACCCAATTGTAGGTGAATACCTCCGCTGCTGTTTTAGCTTCCTGGTTTGGAATCGGGTATACTTCCGGCCATTTGCTAAAGTAGTCCATAACCACAAGGACATATTTGTTTCCCTGTGCGCTCATAGGAAATGGACCGGCTGCATCCATGGCAATCCGCTCGAATGGTGCACCTGAGTTATACTGCTTCATCTGGCCATGACTTCTGGATTTCGGCCCTTTAGCTGCAATACACTCTGCGGAGTTAGCAATCCACTCTGCGACCGATTGCCGACAACCAACCCAATAGAACCTCTGCTTGATCTTTTCCAGGGTTTTCGTGATTCCCAAGTGCCCTCCACTAGGACCATTGGGGAATTCCTTGAGTACATCCGGAATTCTTACCCTTGGAACAACTATTAGGTCGCGGTAGCACTGGCCATCTTCGCTTTCCCATACCCTATGCAAACAGCCAGATATCACCTTTAAGCTGTTCCATTGTGCCCAGTATGCCTTTGCGATTGGGCTTTCCGCTGCCATTTGCTCCTTAGTTGGTCTTCTGTCTACCTTCAGTCCATGCATCAAAAGCTCCAGATCTGGATCTTCTTGCTGACACTTTCGTAGCTGTTCTTCCTTCCACTCTTCCGCTGGTGTTATTGTCGTTAGCCGGACGTCTATAATGTCCTCTTTGCCCTCAGCTTTTGAGCAGTGTTTACATTCCAGGCTACATGGTCGACGGGACATGGCATCAGCATTACCGTGGACACTTCCCTTGCGGTGCTCAATAGCGAAGTCATAACTTTGCAGTCTCTCAATCCACCGAGCTAGCTGTCCTTCTGGATTCTTAAACTGTAGTAGCCACTTCAGCGCTGCATGGTCCGTTCGAACTCGGAAACGTTGCCCATAGAGGTACTTGTGGAAATGTTTGACGCACTCCACCAACGCTAGTAGTTCTCTCCGAGTTACGCAGTAGTTCCTCTCTGGTTTTCCAATCGACCGGCTATAGTAGGCAACTACATTCTCCTGCCCATCAATTACCTGCGACAGTACGCCTCCTATGGCATAACCACTAGCATCCGTATCCAAAATAAACGTTGCACCTGGAACGGGATACGCTAGCATAGGTGCAGTACATAGCCGTTCCTTCAGAGTTTGGAAAGCCACCTCCTACTCCTTGTTCCACTCGAAGGCTCTATTTTTCCTAGTGAGCTCGTGGAGGCTATTAGCAACGCTAGCGAAATTCGGAACAAATCGGCGGTAGTAGGTGCATAGTCCAAGAAAACTTCGTAGTTCGTGCAGGTTCCTAGGTCTTGGCCAATCCTTTACTGCTTCTATCTTTTCCTTCGAAGTACAGGCACCCTCCGTTGTCACCTTTTGTCCCAAGTAGTTCACCTGCTTCTTGAACAGTGAGCACTTTTTAGGACTCAGCTTCAGACCAGCGCCAGCTATCCTCTGGAAAACGTCTTCCAAATTATTCAGGTGTTC